TCCCGACGAAGACATCGTTGACCGTACGGTCGGCGAAGACCGCTCGCGTTCACGTGAACGTGTCGAGCAGCCACGTGGCCGCCCCGTCAAGCCCCTCTGTTCAAGGGCTCTACGAAGGCGGAGCGGCGTGCGTTCATGCGCGAGTACCAGAAGTACTTGGCGCAAATCAATGCACTGCAATGTGTGGGTTCTCGTCCGTTCGCGATGCCCGTCAGTGCGTGCATGGATCCTTTTTCCAAGCGGCGTATTGCTTTGTTCGACATGAACAAGGACCACAATGTGGTCACGGAAGAGGAATGGGTGGCCTGGTTCCACGCGGCATTCGATGAAGATCCGCAAGACTTGGACGTCCTGAAGAGGCGGCTCTCTAATGCCATACGTTTCGACACGAAGGTCCTCGACGCGGAGTCGCGTGTTGGCCGTATGCTCGACGACCTGATGCGTGTGCTCGAACAAGACCACCAAGAATGGGTCCTTCATCAAGAAGGAAAAATTGTTGTCGAGATAATGACCAAGGCGATCAAGCCTGAGGCGCTGAAGACCGCTGTGCAGAAGCAGCTGCAACTGCAGAGGAACAAGGGCCTCAAGAGCGACGTCTTCCGCTACGTCAAGTGGTTGCGACAATTCTCAGCTGGTTTTCAGCTCTACGTCGGTCTCGACGAGGTGATGGCACCTGCGCCACAAACCGGCGCCTCCAAGACGGACAGCTTGAAGAGCGGCCGTGGCAAGCCCGACGGCGCCGACAAGAACCGTGGCAAGCCTGACGCCGCCGACAAGAGCCGTGGAAGGCCTGACGGTCCCGAAAAAGGCCGAGGTAGATTCGACGGCAACGGAAGAGCCGATGGCAGGGCGCCAGGGGTCGAGAAGCCAGCCGTTACCGGCGTAAAGGAAGATTACAAGCCAAGGAAGAAGCTTGGCTGTCTGAAGTGTGGCGACAAGAGTCACTACGTGGCAGATTGCCCTGCGGCAACGCCTGGCGAGGCGGACCGCTTATTGGATGCGCAGCTGAAGAAGTGGCGCGATGGCGTGACCGTCCTGGGCAGCCACCCCAATCGTCATCCGACCGAGCGCGGTGCATTGGTCGAAGGACTCGTTCGAGTCGAGAACGTCCTCCT